AAAACGTACTAGTTACGTTATTCTCATTCCACTCTCACTTTCATGGAGTCGATTCTGACTCATGACCTTGTATGAGGTTTCTGAGGTTATAAATCTTTACAGGAAGAGAAAGCCTCATCTTTCTCCCTTGGATCAGCTGGTGGGATTAAACTGCTAACTTTTAGCTTAGCAGACCAATGCTTAGCCTACAGCATCACCAACACTCCTTTTACATTACTGTTGTTACTGTTGTGTGTACTTGAGATGGTTCTGACTCACAGTGACCCTGTATCGGGTTTCTGAGGTGCGCTGGACTGCAAGGTCATTTGAACTGCAAGGTCTGTGGTTCAAGCTCACCATCCACTCCTTGGAAATCCTATACAAGGTTACTATGAGTCAGAATTGATTCTCCGGCACTTAATATTAACAACTCTTTACGGGAGCAGAAAACCTAATTTTTCTCCTTTGGAGTGACTGGTAAATCCCAACTGCAGACCTTGTGGCTAGCAGCACAATGCATAACTCACTACGCCATCAGGGGTCCTTTTACATTATTATTGTTGTTGTGAAGTGCCGTCGAGCTCGTCCCGGCCCATAGCGACCCTGTATAGGGTTTCAATGAGTGGCTGGTGAGCTTGAACTGCTGACCTTGTGGTTAAAGCTGACTTTGCAGTCCAGCAAATTAATCCACAGCACCACACCAGGACTCCATTATTAGAAAATGTAAAATAATTAATCACTGCCTTTTTCTCTCTTCCAAACAAATGTTCAAAAGATTATCTTGAAAGTAAATTAAAGTAGTTCCTTATGGTCTGTACAAACAGTGGAAGGGAATAGTAACTTCCACATCTTATTGAGATGTCATTAGAAAGTATATTGTTCCAGACTCAACCTGAGGATTTTTTCCAAAGTGCTTCATATTAGGAACAAACATCTTAATTTCATGAAAATCCCCATCCAACTCTGGTTTGGAAGTGTTTTCTTATCTAGAAGCTGGCTACTCTGATGCAATATAGGGCACTAAAATGCCTGCTCTGGACAACTGTTAAGTCCGAGAGTTCAAGCTACATTTTCATCTTGCAGTCTCCTGGGAAAAATAAGGCTTTGTCTCTGAAAATCATTTGGAAACAATTTGGAGAGTTTGGGGGTAGGGTGGGACTCTTCCTCCTTCCTCTTGTATGGACAAACTTCCCGATAGAATGGGATCTGGAACAAATAGATTCCTGCCAGCAAATCTTTCTTACACACAAAGTATGGAGAACAAAGGCCTGGGATCTGGGGGAACTCACTTCATGTCTTTACAGAAATATCAATATATGAGCAATTGGGGTCACTTCTGTCTTCAGTTATTTCTTTCTTTTTCTTTTTCTTTTTTTTTTAAGCTTTTAATGTGAAATTGAATGATAGTTTACGTAGCAGAACATTGGTTTTGCACTCAACCAATTGTATTTTTTTCATTACAATGATTACAATCTATTCTATGCACCATCAGTTAACAGTATTTGCCTCTATTCCCTCTTCAGTTTGTGCTTAGGGGTTTAAAGAGCTAGGCAGCTAAAAACAAAAATTATGGTCATGAAAATGTTTGTCAATCTAATGTCAATTCTTGGTGGCATGTTAGGTTATGCATTGGGTAAATTCAGCAATTTCAACCCACTAGAATGATGGGGCTGTCTGCTCCCATAAAGATTTACTATCGGAAGCCCAGTTCTACTCTGTCCTCTAGATCACTATGGGTTGAAATCGACTCGATGGCAGTGGATTCTGAACAAGCTTGGAATACGGAAACACATTCACAGTTAAGCAGCCCATATGAAACCACTGCATCAATAAAGCATTTTTCAAAAATAAATTGCTCAAAACGCAGACTAATGTTAACAGCTAAATACCCACCATACCTCACCTCTTCTTCTATTTGGCTGCAATTTAATGGTTCCTTTCCCTACCTACAAAACTTTTAAATACTGTTGCAAATTGTGATACTTTTTTACATTATCCTAAGGAGCTCTGGTAGTGTAGTGCTTACGAATCGGGCTGCTAACCTCAGGGTCAATAGTTAGAAACTACCAGCTGTACCACGGTAGAAAGATGGGGCTTTCTGCTCCCGTAAAGATTTACAACCTGTACAGGGTCGCGATGAGTCGGAACCGACTCCACAGCACATAACAACAACAATGACTAACTGGAGTCCTGGTGTGGCGCTGTAGGATCAGCACTGAACTGTGAACCACAAGGTTGGCGATTCAAACCCAGCAGCTACTTCTTAGAAACCCTATACAGGGTCACTTTGAATTGAAACTGACTCTACAACACTTCACACTAGCAACAACAATGGCCAAATATCCACTATGAATCTAAAATTGAAATACGTCACCAGAAAAAAGAAGTATCATGCTTATTTTTAACTTCATAGAAAACCCACAGAGAAAAAGAAAGGAGGTATACAAATAAAATCATTCCAGATAAATGGTTCCTTAGGTTTGGATCCAGTTAATAGTGACTTTTGGCATTCCATATAAGTACTTTGACTTGTCACTGAATCACTGATTTTAATACTTTCAGTGATAATCAATTGTCACTTGACGGTGTGGTGTCATTACTTGGCTACCCTTTAGGAATTTTAATATATTTTATTTTTCTCTTTTTTGGAGGAGGGTTTCTTTAGAAGGTTGTCTGTAAGATGAAAATGCTACCTACCTCTCTTTTCTGTTTTATCCTAAATTTCAGATCTGCTGACAGCCATAGCATATACTTAATTTCTTCGCCTGTAAAATCTTTTAGAGTGAGAAGGTCACGACCCTTCAGCTGTACTTTATTTTGCAGTGGTTGTCCACACCTATTAAAAAAAAAAAAAAGTACTTAATTCAAAAACAAAACAAAAAACATATACTGTGGCTGATTCATTGTTTTACGCTCAAACATAACATAGCAAATCTCATGTAGTCTCATGTGTCTCTGCAAAGTGCTAACGCAGTGAAATTGATATGGCTGTGCTTTCTATTTTAGGTATACAATATTTTGAATGCTGAGAGAAAAGAGGAATTTGAGAAAAGAGATTGAATTTTTATTTGCTTTGCTACTTGCTAGTCATACAGCATCAGGCAAATTACTTAACCTCTCTCTGCACCTGAATTTTTCACTTAGAAAATGAGTGAAGAATTTTATAGGGTTGTTGTGAGGATGATATCCAGTAAGAGGGAGGTTGGGAAAAAATGATGGCAGTAGGAGAAGAGTCTGTGAGGAGTCCCATAGTTCAAGGCCACAGAGTCAAATACTGTAATATACACAGGCTTGCAATAATGGTAATCTACACATAGACACATGGATAGACACAGAGGATGAACAGGTGTGGGAATAAGAGTAGAAGTATAACCTCTCCAAGACTGAAATTCAAAGGGAACAAATGAGCAGGCATGTAAGATTGCTGGTAACCACGTTAGTCAGTTGGTGAGTGGAAGAGGGGGAAAGGCAGCAATGAAGACGTGGGCTGAGTTCAACCACGTTCCATAGACTCCCATCAACCTGGAGATGAGAGAGAGAAGGGGAAGGGCTGGTTGGTCTGAAGTGTGGTGTGACCTGGGGACTCCTGAGTCCACGGACAAGGACATAGCCACAGAGGGCTAGAGCTGAGAATGAAACGTCCAGCTGATATGAACTGAGAGGGGAGATGCACAAGAATGCCCAAACTTGTAGATGTACTCATTCGACCTAGCCTTGATGGCTTGATGATCAGATCTCGACTAGAGGAAGATAATTTATATATATCAAACAAGTGTCAATTGCTTCAATTGGATGAACTTGACCTATACTTATGGATGTTGTTGTTGTTGTTAGGTGCCATGGAGTTGGTACTGACCCATAGCGACTTTATGCACAGCAGAATGAAACACTGCTCGATCCTGGGCCAACCTCACTGTTGTTGCCATGCTTGAACCCATCGATGCTCCCACTTGACCAATCCATCTCCCTGGGGATCTTCCTCTTTTTCTCTGACCCTCCACCTGACCAAACATGATATCCTTCTCCAGCAACTGGTCTTTCCT